TGGAGGCAGCCCTTGTTCCCCTAAGAGAGCAGGGCGTTCACATTCTCAACTACCTCAATGACTGGCTCATACTAGCTCAGTCTCAGGATCAGTTGTGCGAACACAGGGAATTCGTGCTCTCGCACCTCAGCCGGTTGGGCCTTCGGGTCAACTGGGTAAAGAGCAAACTCTCCTTGACGCTGTAGCAAATTAGCTCAAAAGAGAAATGTATATAAATAATTACATTCAATATACACTATACACGAACAGTAATGGTATACACAATGTCCTGAGGAGATGTGTGTTCATTCACAGAACCTATGAATTTTTTTTCCTATGAATTAATTAGAGAAGAGTCAATTTTGCTGTGCATTATGTGTCTTTCCTATGGAAAATGTAGTGAGAGTGAGAACTCTCAACATGCCATTAGGTCATAAAGTTTATCTGGTCTAGCAAAGGTGCCATGGTTGCCATGGTAACCAGGGTCCTGGGCCTTGTTCACAGACATCTTGGCACCCAGTATTTTTATTGGGTGAGGGGTCTGTGAATGTTTGTTAATCTAATGAATAATTGATTTGTTAAATCAATTGAAAAATGGTGTGTCTGATTGGTCCAGACGCTACAACGCAGAGGATCTCTTTTCTGGGTATGGAGTTGGATTCGGTCAAACAGACAGTACGCCTCACGCAGGAATGTGCTCAGTCGGTGTTGAACTGCCTGAATACGTTCAAGAGCAGGACGGCGGTCCCACTGAAACAGTTTCAGAGGCTCCTGGGGCATATGGCAGCTGCAGTGGCAGTCACGCCACTGGGGCTGCTTCATATGAGGCCGCTTCAACACTGGCTCCATGGCCGAGTCCTGAGGTGGGCGTGGCAATGCGGCACTCACCGGGTCCAAGTTACCCGGTGAGGTCTGCCGCCAAACCTTCAGCCCGTGGTCAGACCTTGCATTTCTCCGGGCAGGAGTGCCCCTAGAACAGGTCTCCAGGCATGCTGTGGTTTAAACAAATGCCTCCACCACTGGCTGGGGGGCCACGTACAACAGGCACGCAGTGTTGGGGGTGTGGACGGGCCCCCAGTTGCACTGGCATATCAATTGCCTAGAGTTATTAGCTGTGCACCTTGCCTTGAACCGTTTCAAAGGGCGCTTACGAGGCAAGCATGTGCTGGTCCAGACAGACAACATGGCGACCGTTGCATACATCAACCGACAAGGTGGTCTGCACTCCCGTCGCATGTCGCAACTCGCCCGCCAACTTCTCCTTTGGCGCAACTCGCCCGCCACCTCCTCCTTTGGAGTCGGAAGGTTCTGAGGTCACTTCGTGCCATTCACATTCCTGGTCTGCTCAACCGTGCGACCGACGTGCTGTCTCGAGCTGCGCTCCCAGGAGAATGGAGACTCCATCCCCAGACGGTCCAGCTGATTTGGAGATGTTTCTGAGCCGCTCAGGCATACCTGTTTGCCTCTCCTGGTTCCCAGAACTAATGCTCCTCGTGACAGCCCCTCCCTGGCAGATTCCTCTGAGGAAGGATCTACTAACTCCGAGACGGGGCAACTTGTGGCCCCTGCGTCCAGACCTCTGGAAACTTCATGTCTGGTCCCTGGACGGGAAGCGGAGGTTCTAGGTGACCTACACCAGGAGGTAGTTGACACCATCACTTCAGTGAGAGCACTGTCTACGAGACACGCTTACGCTTTGAAGTGGAACCTTTTCGTCGATTGGTGTTCTTCTCCCCGAAAAGACCCCCGGAGATGCCCGATCAGGGTCATGCTTTCCTTTTTGCAGCAAGGGTTGGCACGAAGGCTGTCTCCCTCCACCCTTAAAGTCTATGTCGCTGCGATTGCTGCTAGCCATGACCCCGTAGAAGGGAAGTCGGTAGGGAAGCATGATCTGGTCATCAGGTTCCTTACGGGGGCCAGAAGGTTAAATCCTCCCCATGGGACCTGTCTCTAGTGCTCAAAGCACTACAGCAGGGCCCATTTGAGCCTTTGCAGTCAGTTGAGCTGAGGTTTCTATCAATGAAAACTCTGCTCTTGCTTGCACCGGCCTCCATCAAAAGGGTAGGGGACCTGCACGCATTTTCGGTCGAAGATTCGTGCATAGAGTTTTGACAGGCTGACTCCCAGGTAATCCTGAGGCCCCAGCCCGGCTATGTGCCCAAGGTTCCCAGTACTCCCTTCAGGGATCAGGTTTTGAGCCTGCAAGCGCTGCCCCCGGAGGAGGCAGACCCTGCCCTAGCTTTGCTTTGTCCCGTCCGAGCCTTGAGATGGTACATAGTCCGAACACAAAGCTTTAAGATCTCAGACCAGCTCTCTGTCTGTTACGGAGGCCGGCAGAAGGGGAATGCCGTCTCTAAGCAGAGGATGGCCCACTGGATAGTGGATGCCATCAACCTGGCTTATCAGGCACAGGGTGTGCCCTGCCCGCTCAGGTTGTGAGCTCACTCTACTAGAGGTGTGCATTCTCCTGGGCGCTGGCTCTCTCGAAGCGAGATCCCAATTCGTCGGTCACGACGTGACGTCTCCGTTCCCTCCTTCAGGGGGGAGTTACACAACTAAAATCATTCATGTACTCTCAACTCAAAGGAATTAAGTAAAGTGGTTGAAAAGAATTGTGTTTGATTAACTTCATTTACTTAAGTAAATTGAACAAGCATCAAATGTTATTTTTGGTCTACTTCATTGAAACTTTCTTTCAAAATGAAAATATTGAGTTGAGCCAAAACACAACTGTTTCAAGTCAGTTTAACACAATGCGATGAAAACCTAATACAATGGCGCTAAATGAAAATGATTTTTTAAAATAAACGGAACAGTATCGTAAAATCATGTTTTTGAGTGACCCTCACACAAAACTTTCTCTCAAACAAAAAGATAATTCTGTATGATTTATAAGCTTGTTTCCTCATGGGGACCAAAGATTTAATCCAATGGAATACAAGGACCACACAATACACGCACGCACGCACACGCACACGCACACGCACACGCACACACACACACACACACAGACACACACACACACACACACACACAAAACCCCAGCCTTATACATATAACCTATAACTCATTAACACTTGAATACAAAATCACATCTTTACCACACTTAGTCAACGCATCTCATATATGACTGAAATATATGACTTTAAATCTCAACATATTTTCTGTCTGATTATTTTGGCATTCTCTCATTTACCGAGCAACACACATGACCTAGCCCATGTGTGGCTAATACGCTCAATTACACGTACAGTGCTAGCAAAGCAACATAAGGTACAGCGATATGAAATAACTTCAGTTAATATGTCTAATAAATCTAATGTACTGTATTATCTTATAACTTTATTTTGATCAACTTATGTCCTACAACTTTTTTATTTTATGTTTGTCCATTTGGTAATTGATCCTTACTATTCCTAATTAGGCTTATTATTTACCATCTTAGGCTCATTTTGAGTGCAAGGTATGTGCTTTCTGTAAATGTAATTGTTTAGTTGATTTATTTATTTTTATTAATTCGTATTGTGGTGTACTTTCAAAGGTTTCACACACTTTAAGAAATGTGTCCATACGTTCAAGGGCTTTGATATTCAGTTTTTCAGTGTCTAATAAGCATTACATAACACAACATAAAATTACAACATTCAAATTTTAATTATATATTTCTCTCTCTCTCTCTCTCTCTCTCTCTTTCTTTTAAACACATCATAATTATATGGAGCCCTGCACATGATATGGGAAAAATATAGCTATATATATTGTGGAGAAAGAATTCAAACTATGAATTTGTTCCCTTGTTCCCTGGAATGGAAAGACATGTTCTGTGTAAACAGCACTTAAAAAGGGTTTTCTTATATTCTCAAATATTTATTAAACAGTTTGTGCAGCAAACTTACTTTTATGTGAAAATCTCAACTATCTCTTGGATTCTGAAGCTATGAAAGAATGTTTACTTTTTACATTTAAATACTTAGTATTTAGTTTTTAGTATTCTGAAGTAATAGTAGAAAAATACAATTAAATGGACACTTTTTTTTTTACTGAAACATATGTTTGGGATACTTTAACTGAGTAAGATTTTTACACACCGCCCATATTTGAACTTAGTATAAGTGTAATGCTTTAGAGTAATTCTCTTAATTAACAATTACATAATTACTTAACAGGCATAACAAGTTTTTAAGCTTTTGGTTTTACTGGATTTCAGTGTAAGCCACACCGATTTGGTTTTATTCAGTAATGTTGATGTTTATGAAAAAATCAACATCACTTTATCATCATAATATTACCGGTTATTACAACTATGTGATGTTTCTTGGAAAGATAATGTAATGCAGACATAATATTATAGCACTTGGGTTGACGCAAAAGCATAAGTCAAGCATAATCACGAGTTTTTATTTCAAGAAAGAACAAGAGGATTTCAGTTGTTGAGTTCTACCAATGTGAAGCCAGTTGTTTGTGTCCATTCAGTCATGGAAACAGCAATCTGATCCATTGTCAATGCATAACAAGAAACTAATTAGATTTATTTTCAGTTCGTATTGTCATTGAGGAGATGACCTTTCATAAAGCCAGAGATGATGATGAGATGGCCAATCTGATCTGGAACGACTCTGCTGTGCAACATGAGAAAATCGCTGAGCTCAGGAACTATCAGGTATTGTGATTTTCCTTGTGAGCTTCCTACAAAATAGAGAGAGTTTGTGATAACAAAGCAAATATTTACTTTATACAATAATAATTTCTTGTTAGAAATTCAATCAGTTGTTCAAAAACATACATGCACACACAAACTGACCACCAAATGCAGCTTTCAGATGCCATTTTTTTTAGCTGAACTGTCATAGAATCGAATGCACAGGATGGTGAGATCATAGACGGAAGAATACATGTATGCTTCTATCAAAAATTGATTGGATGTAGGTATCTCAGTAGACAGGATGTGTCATGATCAATGGATTCAGACGAGCATTGTTGGCTTCTTACCTCCATATGATGCCTGCTGATGCAGGATTTTTCATCTTTGAACAGAGGCTGTTTTTCAATAACATGTCAAACCAAGAAAAAAAAAACTTAAACCAGGCAAAAAACTATTTTAAAAGCTCATCCTATGCACGTTTGTTGTAGAGTTTTTTGTTGTTGTTGTTAGAGGCATCATCTCCCATTCCAGTTGTCCAGCTTTTCCACTCTTCCAAACTACCTTACAAATACTTACTACCTTTCAGAAAGTTTCTTGGTTCATTTTTCTCTGCCAACGATAAATGTTTTACCTCTTAGTGTGTCATGATTTCCATTTAAGCTATATAAAGGCTGGCTTTTGGATTAAGCTAAAACAACCTTAAATGAATAGATTGCCTAAAAATTCTGTTATAATTTACTCACCCTCAATAAACCACTGGAGTTATTTAAACCACTCAAGTTACATGTTCAGTATCAATACCAGATATTTCAATATCAGAACCAGCAGCATGAATGTTCTTCAGATTTTCTGCTTTTATTTTATTTTTGCATTTACATTCAGTATGACATAAAAGATCTGAAACGTTGTGTTAGGGCTTGCTTTCATAAAGCAACTCTGCATGTCTGTCTAATATTCCCTGTCACATATCACAGGATTACATTCGCAAAGAAAAATGCCTCAAACAATTGGCTTAGATGCTTTGCTTCATATAACACTTTTCATAAATTTGTGTTTTGTTACTTTCATTTTTGGAAAAGCATGTTGTGCTTTCACACTTACTAAAATGTTTGTTCCACAGTTTTGTTTTCTTGCTTTCCTGTGATTGGCTCGGCTGCCAAGCTACAGGTCATATGAGTCAAATTAATGGCCCTGTTCAGCCTCATTTGCTCAAAGAATACAGAAAAACTCTCCACCCCCTCCCTTCCTCTTTGCATTCAAAGCAATTCATTCATCTGTCAGTACCTACAACTACATGGGCTCTGATGCAGAACCAATTACCTTGGCCCTTAGAGTCAAAATTGATCGTCTTTTTTTGTTTTAAATTAAAAACAATGTGGGGAACTAAATAGGGGTTAAGAAAGGTCTGACAACCACCTTTTGTTTTGAGTCTGTAATTGGACATAAATGTCAAAATATTATAGTCTCAGTTCAAGACTTGGGCTCTAATATTGTGTTTTTCCTCTCAAAGGTGAATAACCAAGTGCCCTCTAACAGTGTGATTATTTTCCTCAGAGGATAAACCATTTCCCAGGAATGGGTGAGATCTGTCGGAAAGACTGCTTGGCAAGAAACATGTCCAAGTGAGTTCAAAAACATGATACCATATCAAATACATGACTGATTACTGCTGCCCTCCAGCTAAGAAAAGTTGACTTGAACTCTTTTTATTTTTTTATTTTTATTGTAATATCCTCTTTCTTTCCTTAGAATGATTAAAAGTCAGCCTCAGGAATATAGCTTCATCCCCAAAACCTGGATCTTCCCAGCCGAGTGCACGCAGTTCCAGAACTATGTAAAGGAGCTGAAACGAAAACGCAAGCAGAAAACGTTCATTGTTAAGCCTGCAAATGGAGCCATGGGCCATGGGTAGGTTACATCAGACTGGAAATTTTGCATCCTGTATGAGTGTGTTGTTCTGGAGTATTTCTTAAAATGTAGACTATTTTCCCATGGGCAGCATACTGCTACAAAAGTGGCAAAAATTTCCCAGTAAAATTTTGCTATTTGAAATGTTTCTATTTCTGACAGACCAGAAGTCATTCATTTATAATTGAAAGTTGTACAGGAGTTGCATGGAGTTCCAACCTTCTGTGTATTTGGATCCGATTTGAGCTTTGGTTGCATTAAAATATTTGAACTTTTGCAGTTAGACTGTATGGGATCGCCCAACAAGTTGTGACATTCAAATCAAAACAATGACCATGAGGTGAGAATTAACAATATTTTTCCACTAAAACATTATTGTAAAATCTATTTTTGTAAATTTTTTGGTTATGGATAATTATGTCTGACTCTGAAATAATTGTTTATAATTGAATAAGCGGAGGGTAATGGCAAAGTCTCTTTAGTGCAAGTCATTTCACTCGGTGGCCATCTTTGAAACGCCTCTCGGGCATCCAAGTGCAGCTCCTAACTCATTGAATGGGGAAATTAAATGCTCCAAATCTGGTCACCAAGCTTGCGATTAAATTTCATATTTGAAATCACCAATGAAATCTGACAACAACTGTCTCATAAATGTTGTTTCTTTTGCTCAGATAGCATTAAAAAGCTTATTTTTCAGGCTAGACGAGCCAGTGCGCATGTGCAGTCCTAAGTGCGTGCGTCTCAGAATGCTGACTGTTTCTATAGCAACGAGTTTCTAACTGCAGCTGCAGTGATGCGATGACGACCGTTCGGCGATTGACTCTTTTGTTGAGAAGGCGGGACTATTCCACCATACTCCGCCACTTTCTCCCATTCATAAGTAATAGGAGTGCACTGTCTTTATATGTTTAGTATGTCTTGTTAATGGCCACTTCATGACCAATTTGAAAGTTCAATACGACTGCTGTTAGGGGTGAACTGTGACAATCATCACAAATAGTTAAAGTTAAGAATAAGCTAGTTCCGGTTTGTTGAATTAGAGTTGGCGCTAAACTGAATAGGACAGCGGCCCTCCAAGGCCACGAATGGACACCCCTGGGTTAGGGTTAGGGCAGTGATTGGTTGATAGGAGTGTCGTTCCATGTCCCACTTATGTATATAAATAATATTGTGCCACCGCAGTAAGCCTAATAATAACCCAAACACCAACCCTTTATTTTAATACCTGAACCTTATTCTTAAGCCGAAAGTGTACAGCAGCAGATGGGGCAATAGATTTATTTATGACTGTCTTCTATCCGTTCGTAAATTTATATTTCTATGGTCATACGCTACAGTAAGCCGGTACCTATTAAAATGAGAAGTCATCAAAGGTTGAGTTATCGTGCCGCATTTAACAAGTGAAAGAATATTGTCTGCTAGGCTGGAGATTAAATTTGAAAAAGCGTAGCGTGACGCAGGAAATTAAGTTATATCTTCCTATGTAATTTATTTTTCAGGCCGAAAACTTGTTTGTGTCTAAGCAGAGGCTTGTTAAAAACTGTGGAGGGCTAAAAGACGAGATCCCCACTGGTGCCAAATTAAACAGTCAGCCAAAGTGGGTTTTGATTACCTGCCATCAGCCCTCATCAATCATGTCATGCAATTCAAACGACCCCATTATCCTGTACAACATCACACAACACAAGCTACTGGACGCTAAACACACACCTGAGCCAGCGGACTCCAAGTGCAGGGCTAGAGACTGTGTGCCAATACTGTGGAGATAAGGAAGATTGTCCGGTGCGTTGCTTTTGGCTGAGCACCAAATTCAAGTACACTGAACTCCCTTTGCAATAGCCGAAGCAATTAATATTTCATTTGTAATTATAAATAAAATTTTTATATATTAAACAAAACACCTTTTTACCGATAAGCAGCGATAGATGTGGCATTTCTTATTGAAAACAATGCATTTGAAGTGTAATAAATCCTGGAAACCCCTCAAGAGCCACTTATTATTATGCTAGTAGAAATGAGACTCAATCACTGTAAATAATTTTTAATTGTTTTAATTGAGCGACTCAGTGTTACATGGGTCTTTTTGTGGCCCTTTTTCTTATTTGACCATTTTCTGCAGCTTTGTTCTTGTACTAAACAAACAACCGTAAATGAGTTAAATGTATCACAAGTCACAAGAGAATCTTTCGTAACACCACAATTCTTGAGAACATTCAGCTGTGTTTTAATAGTGCTGAACCTCTGCATCTAATTACAGCAAGAGCAAGCAGACAAATTCTTTTATTCTTTTGCAATATTTATCAGCTGACATAGCTAACAAATGAACTGTGATGATCGAGCCCTCCTTCAGCAGCTTGTGGTCTTTGGAAAGTTGACGTCTCAGGTAAACGCTGAGGCCACATGCAAACCGGACGAAGAGAAACATGCAACCAATTAAGTTAATGCGGACCAATGGCTGTATATTTTACCGTCAAAGCTGGTTTTTCTAAGGCCCCTTTGTTTGTTAAACATCCAAACTTCACTTTTTTATGTGTTTGGTACTGGTGAACGCATCGTCACCTGTATACTAGAGCAGCCAAGAGCTGGAGATCTGTTCAAGCTCAAAACCAAAGGAAATAAATGATGGCAGGGCTTGAAACAGACCAAGACGTCTGGTCCTATTAACCTGGGTCTAGTCAGGGTCCAGGGACCAGCGATAGAGACAGCACCTTAATAAACTCACTCTCTCTGACACACTTCAGAGGTTTGGATTTTTAACTAACAATAAAATATGCAGCACATTTTTTGGATGTGCGCTGAATCTTATCCATTTTCCCCCAGGATATCTCTGATTCGGAATTGTGAAAAGCTCCCGGTGCAGGAACACTTCATTGTGCAGGAATACTTAGACAAGCCCTTCCTCATGGAGGGCTACAAGTTTGACCTGAGATTCTACATTCTTGTTACTTCCTGTGATCCGCTACGTGTCTTCCTCTACAACGACGGCCTGGTGCGAATGGGTACAGAGAAATACCACATGCCAAACGAGTCAAACCTGGTAAGTTGGTATATGATGTCAATCATGTAAGTGACGTGAAAATTTCATTCTATGTCGTAAATGGACTTACAGTCAAAATGAACTCAGTTCCATTAATGGGCAGAATCCTCCACTTTATAAAACTGTCATGGAGACACTTTTCATAATCCAATCAGTTCCTGATGGATACAAGCAATTGCAAATGCTGTTTTTTATACTGACTTTAACGCTCTCACACATAATTGAAATAATAGGCATTAGTCAGAGTAAACACCATATGTAATTGTGATGAATATGAGTGTATTGCTGCAGTTGTTACATAGTAAATTGTTACACAAGTTGCAAAGTATGCATAGAAGATATCATGTAAATTCAACCATATGCAAAACGATTCATATAAAAGCTAAATCACATTGTAAATTGTATGTAAAACAATTCTTGTATAAACTGTTGCATTGTAAATCTTTGTAAAACCATTCATAGGTAAACTGTCACATAGTAAATATTCGTAAAACCATTCTTTGGTATTCGTAAATGGTTGTGTCAGGAATATGGACTGTCTGTGTGTGTTTTGCTCCCCATGTGCTCCCATTGACCTATTTTTCCCTCGTGTGTGACATGCCCATATTTGATTTTTCCTGTTCCTGTTCCCATTGTGTTTCATTGATTCCAGGTGTGTCTCGTCATCCCCTCGTTTAGTTGATTACTTAAAATCTGTTCTGTTTGCTTTGTCCGGTGTCTAATGTCTTCTGGTTCCCTATGTTTGTGCTACGTGTATTCCTTTGGATTATCATTAAAGTTTATTCCTACGTCTCCTCGTCTCCTCGTTCCTCGCTCCACACCGTAGCAGCAAGTGTGACAGAACACCAGACCTACAAAAAGTTTATTTGCGTTGTTCCCCTCCATTATTTTTTTTGCGTTTTTACAGTGTTTTGTTTTCTGGTTTCCCCGTGGAACCCCTCGCCGCAAAGTTTACCTCCCTCTCCCGCAAGGACCTTCCCCTTTTGGAGTATGCCGTTGAGTTCGGCCAGCTCGCCATGTTAACGGCGTTCGACGGCGCTGCGCTGAACTCACTGTTCTGGTTCGGGGCTAACTACTACCGCCCCATCGACCTCCCAGACACAACCAGACTGAGATGAAGGGAGGCAATCATCTGGTGTCTGGAGAGTGTCTACCTCCAATCTAGAACACAGCCAGACCCAGTGCCCAGCCCACCATCTCCCCGCTGCGTGGAGCGCATGCCAGAGCCCACCGTTGATGGAGAGTCCAAGCCCGTTGCGACCGACGAGCCATCGCCTAGAAGACAGAGCTGAGGATCGCCACGGAGCCAGAGCCTCACGGATCGTCAGACCAGTTGCGAGAGCTGGCTACAATGACTGTCACTAGGGAGAAAGCCGTGGACAGTGAGAGCTTTTGTTTTGAGAGCTCCTTCTGTTGTTTCTTCGACGAGAGGACGTGCCTTCCGGGAGGGGGACGATATGTCAGGAATATGGACTGTCTGTGTGTGTTTTGCTCCCCATGTGCTCCCATTGACCTAGTTTTCCCTCATGTGTGACATGACCATATTTGGTTTTTCCTGTTCCTGTTCCCATTGTGTTTCATTGATTCCAGGTGTTACTCGTCATCCCCTCATTTAGTTGATTACTTAAGCTCTGTTCTGTTCTGTTTGCTTTGTCCGGTGTCTAATGTCTTCTGGTTCCCTATGTTTGTGCTATGTGTATTCCTTTGGATTATCATTAAAGACTGGTATTTGAGTTTATTCCTACGTCTCCTCGTCTCCTCGTTCCATGCCGTAGCAGCAAGAGTGACAGGTTGCATTGTACACCATCTGTAAAACCATTTTTAACGTAATCTGTTGTAAATCTTTCTTCCGTAAAATGTTGCATTGTAAATCTTCATAAACCCATTCTTGTGTAAAATGTCGAATTACATGTATTCATAAAATATTCTTATGCAGATGTTTGCATTGTAAACTATGTTATGTTGACCATAAATGTGACCATTTATATAATAATGGATGTACGCTCTTATGGATCTTAATTTTTTTCCTCTCAGAACCAGCTGTACATGCACTTGACCAACTACTCCGTAAACAAACACAACGAGAACTTTGAGCGAGATGAAACGGTGGACAAAGGCAGCAAGCGCTCTATTGGTTGGTTCACAGAGTTCCTTGGAACCAACGATTACGACGTGGCCAAATTCTGGGGCGATGTATCAGTGAGTTGTTTTTCATTTTTATTGCTTAGTCTCTTCAATATCTTTAAATCTAAGGCTGCATGATACGATGGAAATTAGGCTTGCCGCGATAGACGGTGCTGACGGTTATACCGGTGTTAAGCCGCAACACCGGTTAAGTCGCTTGCCCACCGCGTCACCGACCCCCACCGTCGTTTTGATATTTTATGGAAATAAACATTCTACGTTTCTTATTTATTTGGTTATATATTATACATATATATTATACTTAGCCTATTTCCAGTTTTGCATACCTATTTAAACTTTATGTAAGTTATTTGTTATTTTATATCAGGCATAGCCTGCCCTATAGTATGGTGTATTTTTATTTGTTTTGTTAATGAAAGTTCTATGTTTTATATATTCGCTAAAGTGAGTTTGACGTATTTAGTTGTTGCATTCAAGCAATTGATGCCGAACTGCCGCTAATTCAAAAGTGAACGTAAAATGCGCACGCCGCTTTTAAGCTATTTAAAAGCGACGGAAAGCGAGGAAAAGAGGGAAAATTCAAACGAACTAAAAACAAACAATTGCTTTACGCCGAATTGCCGCTATTTCAAAGTGAAAGTAAAATGCGCACACCGCTTTTACAAGCTATTTAAAAGCGAAGGAAAGCGAGGAAAAGAGGGAACACCCCCCCCCCGCGGTGATACCGGTATTACCGGTGTTGTCACACGTCGATTAACCGGTGGGAAAATTTCCTCACCGTCACAACCCAAATGGAAATGTGATGTACAACACAAACCTGTTTGATAACATGACGCAATGAAAGATTATGTAATTGGAAATTTTAGCTACTCGCGCCATGAGCAATGTGTGCAAAGTTAATAGAAGTTCTACAAAAATGTAGAACTTTTAAAAATGTGTCTGCATGCTTGTCTTTATGCATATGATGTCATTGGTTCACACCCATATCAGAAGACACTGCACACCCAGTCTTTTCTCCACATTTCCATTACAGATGAATGCCTTTAATTTCACATCGCAATGCATATCACAACCCTGATGATAAGCTTTTCGAGATTTGCAGTATTTTCAGAATTCCATAGATCATGCAGCCCTACATTAATCAGCCTTTCTGACTCCAGTTTCTCAATTGAATCAAATTTTCCTTTCAAAAACAAATCTGTTTCCTGTCAGGGTGTTACCATTGTGACAGCTCTGCCCTTATCTTTCCTGTGTTTCTGTTTGCTGTCTCTTCCTCCTTGCTGTCCACTTCTCTCTTTTGATCTAATTGTAATTCTTCCATCTTTTCAAATTGAGAGCTCATCCACTCATTGCACAACTCCATTTATTGACTCCTTTGCCAACATTCAGAAGTGGTACAGGTGCATCTCAATAAATTAGAATGTCATGGAAAAGTTCATTTATTTCAGTAATTCAACTCAAATTGTGAATCTCGTGTATTAAATAAATTCAATGCACACAGACTGAAGTAGTTTAAGTCTTTGGTTCTTTTAATTGTGATGATTTTGGCTCACATTTAACAAAAACCCACCAATTCACTATCTCAACAAATTAGAATATGGTGACATGCCAATCAGCTAATCAACTCAAAACACCTGCAAAGGTTTCCTGAGCCTTCAAAATGGTCTCTCAGTTTGGTTCACTAGGCTACACAATCATGGGGAAGACAGTTCCTTTTTTTTTTTATTGGTCTTACGAAGTATTCTAATTTGTTGAGATAGTGAATTGGTGGGTTTTTGTTAAATGTGAGCCAAAATCATCACAATTAAAAGAACCAAAGACTTAAACTACTTCAGTCTGTGTGCATTGAATTTATTTAATACACGAGTTTCACAATTTGAGTTGAATTACTGAAATAAATGAACTTTTCCATGACATTCTAATTTATTGAGATACACCTGTACATTTTACCCAGTGTGCACCTTGTCTATAATCCATCGCCTCTTTATTGGCTCACAAGCTGTCCTTATTTATTAAAGAAAATTTTCAGATGTCAGAAGACTCTACTAATAACTTATGTTATATTCTCATTTATGTGTCAGAACAGATATGCATGAACATTTTCAGTTTAGCTGAGGACAAACACACACACAAACACATGCACATGATTCTTTCTGTTCTCTGTGGAGGATGCATGCTGGGATCTAACCTGCTTCTCCGGAACTGCACGTTTGGGGTCCACGGGACACTCAGCAAACGTCCCGCTGGTTATCTGCCCCTCAGACCTCAACACAGCCTCTGTTTAATCATGCAGGGAGACCGCCGGCCTGCCAGACCTCTGATAAGAGAGTACAGCAGCTGATATAGGCCGTCTGTTCCTGTCTTCCTAAGATCTGCCCCTGTCTTCCTGTAGCGTGCTGTCAGTCTTTGACCTATCATGTCTCTTCAGGGAGCTGGGATGTTAATGAGTCCCTCATACGGGCTGTTTGCACATGCAATGAGATTTCACGAGCATATCCTCACCGAGAGTTGACACAATGTCATGCACTTCTTGTGATTCAAGCAATTCAATTCACAACGTTCACTTTTGAATGTACTGATTGGAGTTGTTTAAATTTGTTGTGTCTTATATAACAAATGTGTGTTTTGTGCTTGTGTTTGCAGGAGCTGGTGGTAAAGACCCTGATAGTGGCCGAGCCACATGTGCTCCATGCCTACCGAATGTGCCGCCCGGGCCAGCCACCAGGGAGCGCCAGCGTCTGCTTTGAGGTGCTGGGTTTTGACATAATTCTTGACCGCAAGCTCAAGCCCTGGCTTCTAGAGGTCAGTTTTCACCCTCTCTTCTCAATAAGTCCACTTCTTCATCCGCCCCACTTGTGCTGATGTACAGTTCACATTTGAGTGTCCTCACTTGTAGGAAGCCATGATGGAGGATAGATCTTATGTTAATAGCTGTATATTGTGAAATCCAGTATTCATGAAATAGCATTTACATATTTTCTCATCATATTTTGGTCAACGGTGTGTTTTAATTCAAATTTTTGTTGACAAAATAAAAAAACAGCTCAGATACTGATAGACCTTAGTCAGGGTATTGCAATATTTAATTTTTGACAGGAATGAAAATGAGGCTGAGAGGAATATAATAACTTCAATGGATTGTATGGTTGTTTAACAAAATACTGATTGTTCGGTTGAAGTAACAACTTTCCGTAAAAAAAAAAAAAAAAAAAAAAAAATCAGTAGACAAAAACTTCATAAAACAGTTTTGAATGTTGTGAGTGGTGAAAATTATGTGATCTAGGACCCTTATACAGTCCTTGCCATTATAAAGACTGAAAGTCTATCCCTCACAGCCTCATTTTCATCCTAAGGACTTTTGTGTTTTGTGTAATATTAAAATGGTTACATTTCTAAATGACTTTATATCAATAAAGAAAGTTAACAGTGGATATTTCCTCTCAGATCTTCATTTTTTTTTTTGTTCTATTCAAATTTTGTTGACAAAATCAAAAACTTTTTGGTACACTACAAGCTACTGATGATTCTAACTGTGGTACTAACTGTCTTTTGTATAATATAGTGCTGTAAAACGATTAATCGCATCCAAAATAAAAGTTTTTGTTTACATAATATATGTATGTGTACTGTATATATTTATTATGTATATATAAATACACACACATGCATGTACAGTATATATTTCAGAAAAATATGTTTATATATTAAATATATTTATTTATAATATAAATGATATGAATATAAATATAGACATGTAAATATTTTCAAAATATATACTGTATGTGTGTGTGTGTGTGTGTGTATTTATATATATATATACATAATAAATATACACAAAACACATTTTTTGCAAACAAAACCTTTTATTTTGGATTCGATTTATCGCGATTAATCGTTTGACAGCGCTAGTATAATATTAAAATTGTTTAATTGCTTAATGATTTTAATAGCGATAAATAAGGCAAAATGGATAATTCACCTCAGATCTTGAAAATATCTTAAAAGCAACAAGAACTTTCAAACTGTTGACTGTAAAAAACAAGTGTATTTCCATGACAAACACTATCATTGTAACATTGAGAATGTATTTTAATATGGTTTGCTGTTTTAGTAATTTGATGTTTCCCTTGATTATGCGTCTCCGTTTGGTTGCGAGCATGAGACAGCAGCGCACTTTCAGAGAGAGCCCGCCCACATGCTCTGCTGTTTGTCTGTGATTTGTGATTGATTTTGTCACATCTTATAGCTTTGTCGCGTCTGGTGTGGACAGACAAATTGCTTGCCGCTGGAATCTTATCGCATTGCGTCTGATTAGGACACGGTGTAACTGTATTGTAGGAACATCTGGTTTGCTTATACTCTAATAAACTTAAAGGTACACACAAATTGGATAAAATACTAATTTTTTAAAAAAAATCTTTTTTTATCAATGCTTTTCATTACTGAATGAATGATATCTACTATCTTTAATAATCTACATAATTCATTTTTTCACTGAGTGCATTGCAATGCATTCAGGGATTGTCGAATTCATGAAGGATGCATGCAGTGCTCCTTTAGAATTGGTATTGTAGACATCTTAGAAGTACAGTGTTTCTGCTTATCTTTTGGAACTGCCTTTAAATCAGCTGCGAGTCTATGAGGCCTTAAAATGCTGTCTAGATAGGCAGCTCAGCAGGTTTTGTGACAAAGATATGGAGTGGAATCATTGCTGGACATCCCTGATTTATCCAGTTTAATTTCGTGGGAATGGGAATAGGATGCATCGGCCTTGGTCTTGCTAAAGATGTCTTGGGTTTTGCATCCTTTTGTTCAACATTTCACCGTTTAAGGCAAACCATTCCATGTAATTCAGCTAAACGAGGGACTCCCACTGAAAGATGATCTAAAGAGGCAGTTGTTTGTGTGTTTGAAAACAGTTGGTTCCTCAGATTCTCGAGTTGGGCATTTTTTTTTGTTTGTTCTGTTTCTCATTTTCATTTCCTTTTGCTGTGGTGTTCTGTAATGTTGGATGACAGTCGTCTAAACAACATTTTCCAGCCGTTCCCAGCATGCACATCTTTTAACTCAACAAACATAAAATGATTGTGCTGACTATGCCACTTCACCACACCATGTGTTTGTCATGGATATTGCTTAATTAAAAACATTTAAAAAATATATAGCAACTATAATTTTTGGTGAATTGTAAAGACAGTAAGACACCAAACTAGTGTTGTCAAAAGACCCGGTATTTCGGTACCAAGTCGGTACTAAAAAAATGAAAACGTTACGGTATCAGGTTTTTTTAAGTACCGGTGGTACCGAGTACCCGGTCAACCCGGTTCTTGATGCGCTATTGGTACCGAGAACCGTGGATTTTCACTGGTATTGGTACCGAATACTGAAATGTTGGTACCGTGACAACACTACACCAAACATTCATAACTCATCCGGCATTTAAACGTGAATCAATGTCACCTTTATTTATATAACGAACAACAACGTCACCTTTATTTATATAACGCTTTTAACAATACAGATTGTCTCAAGACAAGTTGCTATCTAATATAACACCCAGATTTTTGACTGTAGAGGAAGTAACCGTACATCCGTCTAGTTGCAAACTGTAATCCACGAGATTCGGTGTACTGTCTTTTGGTCCAATAAGTAATATCTCTGTCTTATCCGAATTTAAATAGTGTGTCAATAATGCAGAATGACAATAGTAAACACTCAATTTTCAGTTAAAGGCAGTTCATCATTGAATTCAGTGATGTCATCATCCAGCTCAGTTCAGTTTAAATAGTATCTGTGCAATCAAGTCGGCGATATCGCTGAAAATTAAATGTCATGGATCAAGGTTGAATCTGTTGAATTTTGTTTAGATTTTACAAAAAGAATCAATGTTGCTATCACAATGTTCAAAATTTTGAAATAATTATGAGTTTGTAATGTTTTTGAAAGAAGTCTCTTATGTTTACCAGAGTTGCACGTATTTGATCAAAACAGTGTAACATTGTGATATATTATTAAACTTTTAAATAACTGTTTTCTATTTGAATATATTGCGAAATGTATTTCTTGTGGTGCAAAATTTTCAGCATCATTACTCCAGTCTTCTGTGTCACATGATCCTTCAGAAATCATTCTAATATGCTGATTTTGTGCTCAAGAAATATTATTATTATTATTATTATTATGATAAATGTTGAAAACAGTTTTTGCTGCTTAATGTTTTGTGGAAACTGTGATACCCTACCATTCATATACTTTTATTCAGCAAGGATGCATTACATTAAATGATCAAAAGTGACAGTAAAAACATTTATAATGTTACAAAAGATTTCTATTTCAAATAAATGCTGTTCTTATGAACTTTCTGTTCTTCAGAGAATCCTGAAAAAAAGTATCAGGATTTATATATATTATACAGCAAAAACTGTTTTCAACATTGATAATAATAAGAACCATTATATTTAGTATTTAATAGAACCATTATTTCTGTGAGGACCACAGTCGTCAAAGATGATTGACAATTAGCATACAGTTTGGATTGGCGCGAAAACTGCTGATAATACTGAGGGACCTTATGTATATGAATGCTTAGATAGGTGTCGTATTCCCATAGGTAGATGGGGATCAGCTGAGAGTCAGCTGATGCGAGCTTGACTGACGTGACCTGCCAGAACTAACGCTACGCTTGATATTTACTTCTTTTAAAAACACTGAAAAAAAAAAAAAATCATAATTATTCTAGTGTTTTTACTGGAAGTGTACATATTTTGTTAACCTTTTTTCTTATTTAGCATTATATAGTTCTACTGAACTATTTTTTTACATTTAAACAACCAACGGTGAAGGTTGGTTGCATGCCAAAGGAGAAGACTTATGAATAAAATTTGTAGGACTGTCAATCTAAGCTGTAATACTGAAAATATTCTTTGTTTGGTTTTGATATCATTGAACAATAAGCTGACCACAGCAGTCCATTCTGCTAATCAATGTTATCAATCTGTCCGATGTAGACTTAGAGCCTGGTTGCATATTTTTGTGTTTCGTCTACTATGTTTTCCCATGACGTCATTGGCCGTTGGGACGCATCATGCATGCTGTTTTTAAGATGACGTGTCAGGTAAAAACAGTTTTCTGCTGCACTCTGTTCTAGATGTCTACCAGTTTGAGTACATGGACGTGTCCTTTTGAGAAGATTTATTTTTTTGCTCATTTTGCAATGCCTGTCCACAGTAAAAGTCATTTTGATGAAGCATGTTGACTGCAGACTCTCAAAAATGTGGAATTAAATTCCTTATTATGCAATTTACAGACTGGCCAATGGGCATGATTAAATACATACTTTTTAAAAAAGTATTATTTTTATAATTGACTTTTCACTGTTATATTGGCTGCCCTGCAAATTTTTTGAGCACTTTTCATTTTGCAATGCCTGTCCACAGTAAAAGTCATTTTGATGAAGCATGTTGACTGCAGACTCTCAAAAATGTGGTACTTTGAGTTTGGAATTAAATTCCGTATTATGCAATTTACAGACTGGCCAATGGGCATGATTAAATACATACTTTTTAAAAAAGTATTATTTTTATAATTGATTTTTCTCTGTTATATTGGCTGCCCTGCAAATTTTTTGAGCACTTTTGATTATTTTAAGTCTAATCATTGGGGTAGTTTGTTTCACGGTTAATTTTTTTTTTTTTTACTTAATTTTTTATTTATTTAATTTTATTTATTTATTTTAAATTGAGACACTTTAGAGAGGAGATATTTTTCAGGTAACAGGATCAGATTTCGGGCTGGATTTTTTT